AGAATCTCACCTGTGTGGAATCTTGGCCCTTCTGTCCTTAACAGGGCAAAGAATTCATCATTGGCCTGTAGACCCCTTGACTTCAGCCATACAGTTACAATTTCTCTTCCCCCAAAACAAAGTCATTCTTCCATTTCTCCTTGTTGGCCTCCTGTTGGCACATGCAAGAACTCCCCTCCAGTATTTCATATTAATATTAAATATGTTTTCCTGCTCATAAGTAGTAATGTGGCAGAAAAATGGGAAGAGTTCACACCCCTTTTTTAATTGTCCAGGCAGCCTTCCCTGCCCCTAAGTTTATCCCAGAAAATCACTGCTCAAATAATGCGCAAGTGAAGATAAAGGAGCTGAGAATCATTGGCGCGTTTGACTTGGCAGCTAGCAAGAACGATTTTGTGAAAGGAAATACAATTTGTAGCAAAAATGTAGGATTTCATTGTTCATGCAATTTGAAATATTCATTGTCACTGGATATCAGGTTCTTGTTTCACAGGAGTCTGAGACTCCAACCATTCTAACCTTCAGGCACAGAGTTTTCTACATTCCTCCCTTATATATAGGGAATGCAGGAAGAAAGAGTTAGAAACCACCAGAATACTTTGATTATTCTAAATACCTGATAGTGAATATTAAATACGCCATGCATGGCTTCAGCTGCCAAGAGAAACACTGTGAAGACGCGGTCTGAGGAGCTGACCTTTAACAAACCAGGGCCTGCAGGGACTGTGACAAACAGACCAACTGCCAACACTTTCAGTACAAGGGTACAACGGCAGCAGCACAACCCCAAGAAGTCTGTTGACAATTAGTCTGCCTTGGTCAGGCAGCAGCAGCATTCAAAGAGGAATACAACGTGGTCTTTATCAGGGCCACTATCGTCCCCTTGTGCTCACATGACTACTGAGAGCTCCGTCTCCAGAAGACAAATACAGAACCAGATTCCAAGCTCTGGATTGCCCACGGTTATTCCTCTCCCCCCAAAAGAACACGTAACGAGAATCTCACTGTCACAGCAGCAGACCAATACTTCTGGGCTCTTCAGAACAACCAAAGCTTCCTCACTCTCTTCTGCCGGCCGGTGGTACCGCCCATGCACAGGCAAGGCAGCTCTAAAACAGCGAGAGCACCGAGGGTCGGGTTCCATGTACAAGAGAACAAGAAGATCTGTGGCTAAGTACTCGGGAGCCTCCACATCGATGACATCAGGAATTAACACCGCCTGCAAGTGGAGAAAGATACAGATGTGGTTGTGATCAGAATCGATACAAGGGAGGGATGCAGGAAAAAAAAAAAAAGTATGAACATTTTCTGCATGATTCTGGGATTTAAAAGGCCACTGTCTGCTGCGGTAACCTACTGCAGCATCAGAAGGGAAAACTACTTTCCTCATCCTATTGTCTAACACTGGGCCCAATTTCATGATCAGGAAGATCAAGTTGGAAATTCTGTCCTTAAGCTGTTCCAAAATAACTTTTCAAGTCCCTCTCCAATGAGTGATTCTTACGTATGAAAAGTTTACAGTGCAACCATGCCTATAGCCAAACCTAAGACACGTTACCTTAATGATGCATACAAGCAAGGCCATACCAGCACTGACAAGCATCCTAACAGCAGAAGCTGCCCAGAGTCTTTGTATCCATATGTTTTAAGTGAACTAAGTGCCTAAGGAGACTACCTTAAAGCCGCAGCCTTAGCACATTTCTCTACCCAAAATGCGAAGCGAACACTGGAAAGCAACACAGAAAGCTGTGATGAAAACGAAGCTGTGAAGCTACTCAGTCTGAATGCGCAGCACACTACTTAGAGCCCACCACCACCTCTTCTGTGGGGGTTAACCTTCCGCCTTTTCAACCTGAATAGCTTGTACCATAGTTGCTCATCTGGGGCTAGGCAGAGTTGCAGTGGCTCCCCGGTACGCACGCCTATGTGTAGAAATATCAGCAGCGCACAACACAAAACGCCCTGCACCGATGTTGATCAAGGTGAGAGATACAATGAGATGTCACAAAGATGATACCGTGCAGCATCTCCTTCCGGGAAAAGGAATTAATCACCTTGGTTCAACAAAAAAAATAATGACCAGAGATTACAACTTCCTGAGCATACTCGTCCTTATCTGAGTAACTGCCAGATGTCTTAGCTTTGGGGTTGTTACCTTTGTTAAATTGTGCTGCTGCAGCGATGCCAACTCGTAGGGATCCACGTAGATTCCTGGTGGAAGACGAGTTCTAGCTGCCACTGCACATCCTCCTGCATCCTCCCCCACTACACCAAGTTCTACCTTCACCAGCAGGTCCCTTCAAACAAGCAACAGAAGCAAAACATTTATACCTGCACTTCAAAAGACGGCCAATTCAACTTCAACTTTTCCATCCTCCCCCACCCCGAGAGACATACGCACAAATGCGCAGAGATTAGACGCAGCTCTCACATGCCACGTGCAACAAATTCAGAAAACAGTTCCCTGTCAAGCCATGCTGTCCTTCTCTGGTTAGGATGATGTACTTCAGCCTAACTCCACATCCATGACCAAAATGAAGTTCCACTTCTTTGTTAACTTCTCAGAACTACCAACGGCCTCCACACAGATCTTAGAAAGGGGCCTCCTGTTCCTCCTCCACTATAGCCTGTAATTGTTAATTAGTTGATCATGCTAATACATTCCTAGTGCCCAGCCATGCCTATGGATCACAGCTCAGTGAGCTGATACAACTGTGCACGAATTAGAAGAGAAGCTTCCTCACACGCAAAATTAACTGGCACATTATTTTGATGCAGCGCCAGGGTGACAACTTACCTGTGAAACCCCTCTTTCAGAAGCTCCTGCGTGACAGTGGCATCCTGACAAGCAGCCTGCACGTCTAAGATAACACAGAACAAATGAGTAACGGTGTTTACAGAACAGTGTGCATAATTACCACATGGGCAGACAACCTTAACAAGTGGTCGTATCATCTACAAACACATCATCTGCAAAACCTCTCACAGCAAAAGGGAAACAGTATTTCAATTTAGTACAACCAACAGCCATTTTGCCAGTAGAACACCAAGCTTCAGCTACCATGAAGGCTGAAATATCTCTTTTTTTTTTCCAGCAGAGCAACTTTCAAAAGTGTCCTTTAGTTTTTACTGAGGAGTCTGTAATAATCCCCACTTTTTCCAACTGTAACCCCATTCCAGGTGCAATTCCTATCTCCTACTTCTGTATCAATCCCTCTAAGATCCAGATTTTAACAACAAACTTTGTGTTGCAGCCATTTTTTTCTCTACATTTCCACAGGATTTCACTTTCAGATCTGAAACGCCAGTCATGTTATGTATGACATCAGTATCTGCTTGAGCAGAGACCTAAAGCAAGGCGATGTTGGCTTAATACGAAATTTTGCAGAAGGTTTTGCAGCTGTTTTTCAGTTACCTAATCTGGAAAATTCCTTGCTTCTGTTATTAATTTCAATAATAGAAGAGACTATTTCAGTTGGAAGGGACCCACAATGATCATCTAGTCCAACTGCCTGTCCACTTCAGGGCTGACCAAAAGTTAAAATGTGTTATTAAGGGCATTGTCCAAATGCCTCTTAAACACTAACAGGCTTGGGGCACCGACCGTCTCTCTACGAAGCCTGTTGCAGTGTTTGACCACCCTCTCGGTGAAGAAATGCTTCCCCATGTCCAGTCTGAACCTCCCCTGACACAGCTTTGAACGATTCCTAGGTGCCCTGTCCCTGGATCCCAGGGAGAAAAGATCAGCACCTCCCTCTCCACGTCCCCTCCTCAGGAAGCTGCGATCGACAGCAGAGGAGGTTTCTTGGGTCCCCGACCGAGCCGTGCTTCCCAAATCTAGAACCCAGCCCTACAAACAAGTAGGCGCACACAGCTCCACACACGTGTACATAAGTATTTCCGAGGCGAAAGCCCGAATGACCTGGCCCGAACCGTTTGGTGTCAGTACAACGGGACCCCAGGTGCTCACGCCTGGATTAAGCGGCCGCGGCGGGCACGGCTGGGCGCAGCACAGCCAGCTGCGGAGGCTCAGACTGCGCGGAGCCATTTGCTCCACGCCGACGTTT